ATAACCATCAGTACTATATTTGAAACTGATCTGAATAATTCTAGCTAAGACACAACCTAAGAAGCTAGAGAAGTTGAGACCGGGTCTAAGCAAATGGCAAGATCAAAGGTCTCTGATCTGAATAGTAGAATCTATATAAAGTTGTCCAGAGAAAACTGAAAGTCAAAAGTGTGTGTGTGTGAGGGGGGACAGTAAATACAAATGTTAATTTTAAGAAAACAAGATAAATGGAATCAGAGAGATAGCTCTAGGGCACTTGTGTTGCATGGACCTGACCTGAGTTCAATCATTGATGTCCCATATGGTTCCCCATAGCACCACCACCACAGGAGTGATTTCAGAGTGCAGAGCCAGGAAGTGGGGGTGAGGAGGGGGGAAAGGGGTGGGGAAAAGGGAGGACGAGAGGAAAGGAGAAAGGGAAGAAAGGAGGAAGGTAGGAAGGAAGGAAGAGAGGAAAACCAAACCAGATAAAAAACGGGAGCAGATGAAAAAGCTCAAGAAGCTGATGGGGCTGGCTGAAATATAGTAGAGGTTAGGTGTTTGTCTTGTACACAGCCAATCCCAGTTAGATCACCATCACTAGTTGCATAAAAAAATAGATTGTATTATTTTCTTTGTTCTATTGATATTCTGCAGGCACAGGTAAGGCAAACTTCAATATTCAGAGTTGATTTTTATTATTTAACGTATGGACTGGAGTGATAGCATAGTGGGTAGGGCGTTTGCTTGCACACAGTCGACACAGGTTTGATTCGTCCATCCCTCTCAGAGAGCCCAGCAAGCTACCAAGAGGATCTCACGTGTACAAGAGAGCCTGGTAAGCTCCCTGTGGCATATTCGATATGCCCAAAACAGTAACAAGTCTCACAATGGAGACGTTACTGGTATCCACTTGAGCAAATCGATGAACAAATAAAATAAAATGTATTTTTATACATTTTATATACATGGCAAATTTATATAGTTGTTAGAAATGATCGCTAGATATATGCATAAGTTAGAATACACTATGTAGAACATACAGATTATGAGACATTATAATAGTTTGTTTGGCAATAAGAGAACTTATATATCTTATATATGCTCGCACATTAGAATTTTGAAAGATCTCAAATTCCAGCTAAAGGAAGCAAAATTCTACCTGAGCTTATGGTAATTTTTTGTTTTAGGACTCTATTTCTGATATGTGAAAAGCACTAAATTTTTCTGAATGTAAAATACTGAGTGAATGCAACAGCCATGTTATTATTTATAGTCATATTTTTATTTCTTACACTGTAAAAGATTAAATCATTTGAGCAGCTTTAGCATGAACTACTAATTAGAACATAAAATAAACATGTATATGCAATGCTATAAGATTCATAGTTGTATCAAGTAGGTTTATTTGATTATGCAAAACAAAGAAAGACAATGCCACCAGAAGTCTTTATTTTAAAAAGATAGTAAAAATTACATTTACATGTATTAAACATTGTAAACCATCTCATTCTTTTTTCATTAATGAATTTATGAATGGTTGCTTGGGAAAACAATTAGCTCACTGATAGGCTATTTATATGTCTTTGGTGGCCACTCCATCTAACATATTTTTGCACTTGCCGCTCCATCTAACATTTTTTTTTGATCTATGTATGACATTAAGGCATATTTCAAGGGATTTTCATTTCCAAAAGTCTGTAATTTTTGATTTCCAAAAGTCTATAATTCCATAGCAAAGATATGTTTACAAGAGTTACTTGTGTAATAAATATATTAAATCAAGATATAAAATTTTTAAATGAATTGATAGATGCTATTTTGTAATGATGTAATTTTTATTTATACCATGGAATTAAAAAATGATTTGCAATTGTACTAGTAGACTTTTCATATTATAAATTGAAAATGCAATGGTCTTATAGATAAACTCAATAGACAGTGAATATATTTTTTTGTTTTGTTTTTTTTTTAATTTATTTTTTATTTTTAGTGAAACACCATGAGGTACAGTTGTAGATTTACAATTTTTTGTGCTTGGGTTTCGATTATACAATGATCAAATACCCATCTCTCCACCAGTGCCCATTTCCACCACCATGGATAATATCCCTCCCAACCCCATCCCTCCCATCTCACCCTGCCTCTGTGGCAGGGCAATCTCCTGTGTTCTCTCTCTCCTTTTGAGTGTTGTGGTCTGCAAAAGAGGCTTTGAGTGGCAAACATGTTCAGTCCATAGTCTACTTTCAACATGCATCTCCCATCCTGGGAGGATCCTCCAAACACCCTTTATTTGGTGCTCCCTTCTCTAACTGAGCTGCCCTTTCCCCTAGAATGCCTGGCTGGCCTCTAAGCTATGGAGTAATCCTCCTGGTGTTGATCTCAGCTAGTGAATATATTTTTGACAAGCCTGAACTAGCCAAAAGCAAAGAGTAGGTAAATATGACATAGGTTTGGGAGGTGTTATGGGATTAAGTGTCAACTAATCAGTTCTTGAAGAATTTTTGAGTGGTGAAAAATACATTGAATTCTTAGTATTTAAAATATAGTTATGAAGAATGCAGTATTGTTTAAAAAACAGGGAGTTCAATGTGCTGTATGGGAAAAAAAGTTACATTTAGAGACTCATTAGATGTCGTATATGAGGGAAATTAAAAATTTGGTTCAAGCAATCAACTCTGAGAAACAAACATGGTATATTGTTGCTTGAGAGGCCATTAAGTTGAATTAAATGACTGAAGTGATTAGTTTCTAGATGATAAATTCAAATTTCAATGTGAAATTTGAGGTAAATATTATAGACTGAAGAATAAACTACTTCAATGTCAGATTAAACATGACTACATAGTATGATAGATATAAATAAAGTTAATTAGTTCCAGAGGAAAGTCAAAACCCTGAGAGTGAATAGTACATAAATCTTCAGTAGTGTCTTCCTTGTTAAAAATCTTCTTAAACTTTTTTCAGAAATAACATGTTTTGTCTTTTAGGAGTTTTTATTTGTTTTGGTTTTGTTGTGACTTTAAGGCTACAGCTGGTGGTGCTCAAAGGTTACTCATGGCTCTGTGCTCAGGAATTAATTCTAGTGGTGCTCAGAAACTGACCATGTGGGATACCAGGGATCAAACCCAGGTCGGCTGTGCATAAGGCAAGAACCCTAACCCACTGCAGTATTGCTCGGAACACAATGTGCTTTATCTTTTTAAAGCATCAATTACTGATTGCATTATATACAAAGGCCAAAGATAAATAATTTCTGGAAGTTTGATAAGTATTAGTTTTGGTAAGAAAGCACTTTGTCAAATACTAAAGATAGGAAATACTGTCACTGTCACTGTCACTGTCCTCCTTTTCATCAAATTGCTTGAGCGGGCCCAGTAACGTCTTCATTGTGAGACTTGTTGTTAATGTGTTTGGCATGTTGAATACATCGTGGGTAGTTTGCCAGACTTTCCTGTGCAGGCGAGATACTTTCAGTAGCTTGCCGGGCTCTCTGAGAGGGGTGGAGGAATTGAATCCGGGTCAGTTGGGTCTGCCTTGTGTATAGTAATTTTCTTGATCACTTGACTTCCCATTAATCGTCAATTTGCTCGAGCGGGCGCCAGTAGTGTCTCCATTTGTCCCTGTCACGTGCTAGTGTAGCCCAATGGCGTCTGTTCGCTCTAGGAACATGAAGAGTCTCAAACCAATTGTTCATGATCTTGATGAAGAAGTCTGACCATCTGGTAGGTGGGCAGCCACGCGGTCTTTTGACATCCCGTGGTATCCAGTCGGTAACAGCTCTAGTCCAGCGGTCGTCTTTAAATCTCAGTAATTTTCTTATTGCCATTAAACCTAACCAAATTTCTTTCTATCATGATTTGTTTAACACAACCATTCAACTTTATTTACTGGTATAGTAAGATGTTAACTAACAAAACACAACCCAAATCAGGCAGGCCCATGAAAAGGAGAACAGTATTTAAATATGGTTTGAACCAAGATAGATCAAGGTACAGGTAAGTGCTGAGGAGAAAAAGAATATTATGGAGGGAAGCACATGACAGAATTGTATCACAACTAGCTTTTTTTCTGAATAAGCAGTTTGGTTAGATTTATCAGAAGATGCTTATCACCATGTGAGATGCAAATGCCCCTCAAATGCTTCATCTTTAATAGCTACATTTCTTTTTCTAACTATATTATGTTTATGATCAGGAAAACTGGCAACACATTTTTAAATGATAATTTCTAAATGGGAATTTAACTTATATGGCATGCTTAGTCCTATGACAATTTGTAAACAGGATACCAAAATAAATGGTAAACAGGAATAGAAAGAAAAATTAAATTTGTAGTAGCACTGTGGCACTGTAGCACTGTCCCCTCCCATTGTTCATCGAATTGCTTGAGCAGACCCAGTAATGTCTCCATTGTGAGACTTGTTACTGTGTTTGGCATATTGCATACATCCCGGTCTCGGGTAGCTTGCTAGGCTTTGCAGTGCAGGCGAGATACTCTTGGTAACCTGCCCGGCTCTCTGAGAAGGTTGGAGGAATTGAACCCTGGTCAGCCAGATCGGCTGCATACAAGGAAAACGCCCTAATTTATAGTAGTCAGTTAAAAAGTTACAGCTCTAAAACAAGAAATGTGATTAGATCAGAAATGGTGACTGTGGGGTTGGAACGATAGCACAGCAGGGAGGGCGCTTGCCTTGCATGCGGACGACCCGTGTTCGACTCCCAGCATTCCATATGGTTCCCTGATCACCGCCAGGAGGAATTCCTTAGTGCATGAGCCAGGAGTAACCCCTGTGCATAGCCGGGTATGACCCAAAAAAGCAAATAAATAAAAAAATAAAAAGAAATGGGAACCGTGATACAAATGTATTGATTGCAGCTGACCCATGATATTCAGATAAAGAAAAAATTCATAAAAATAGTTTTAAAATTTTGGAAAACAAAATGTAGAAATTGTAATAAGGAGTTTCTACAAGATATTTAGTAGAATGAATATTTTAATGACATTAAAATCAATGTATTTTAATTTGTAGTTTCTTCATGTACTACTATCACTGGTAGCTTCAGTTTTCGTTTGGTTTTAATCAAACTGCCCTTTACTCTTTTCCAGAAGGAACCTATAAAAGAGAAGAGAAACAAATTTATAAATGATAAAGGAACAGAAGAACATACTTCACTTAAAATTTTACATTTAATGATTCACCAAAACATACATGATTTGTTTAAATCACATTTCTAAGAAAGTTCTTTGCACATATTAAAGTTAGGAAAATGCATAAACATGTTATTGATGTTCATTATTTATTTTCAGTTAGAAATTTATGCTAATTTATTAAAAATAGTGGATATCTACTATAACATAATTGAGAAATCAAAGATTATAGTTGTTGGGGTTTATTTGTTTATTTTGTTTTTAGGTCATACCTGGCAGTGCTCAGTGGTTACACTTGAATCTGCACTGAGGAATTACTCCCGGCAGACTCTGGGGGACGCTATGAAGTGCCAGGAATTAAACCTGGGCCAGCTGTGTGCAAGGAAAATACCCTATCCACTGTACTATTGCTCTGGCCCAAGGAATCATAGTTTAAATTTATATAGTATTCTATCATATAAACATTTCTATATTCAGAAATCTAATACATATATCAAACTTTTGAGCATTATAAGAAAGCTTAAATATATTTTTGTTTATTTGGGTACCATAACCAGCAATGCTCAGGAATTAGAGTTGATGTTGCACTCAGGGATTACTACTAGCAGTGATTGGGGGACCATATAGAATACTGGGGATCAAATTTGGGTCTGCTGTGTGCAAGGCAAGTGCTCTACTCACTGTATTATTGCTCTGGCCCTTCAATGTCTTTTAAAAATAATCTTTAAACATAAAAACTTTGTATGTAGTTAGTTTTTCAAATTTAAATTTGTTTAAAATTGATTATTATTTTATGAAGACACATTAGGAGAGTTGTAGTTAAAAAATCCAGAAATATTATTTAACTGTAATTTTAAAAGCATCACATTAATTTTAAAAAGGACTTTGTTTTTAATAAAATATAAATAAGTTATCTATAGTCTACTCACAGCATGCTTCTTCCACTCTGGAAGGATCCTCCCAACACCCACAAACCACAGGACCCAAAAGGAGAGAGAGAGAACAAAAGGGAATGTCCTGCCACAGAGGCAGAGTGAGATGGGGGAGATGGAGGGTAGGAGGGATGCTGGGACCCGTGGTGGTGGAGTATGGGTGCTGGTGGAGGGATGGGTACTTGGTCATTGTATAACTGAAACCCAAGAACAAAAATTTGTAGGTCTATAACTGTACCTCATGGTGTTTCACTAATAAAAAAAATAAATAAAAAATATATAAATAATTTATAACAGATTCATGCATAGCTTAACTATTATTATTATTCTAAAGATTAATAAGAAAAAAGTCCTCTATACCTTTTTTACAAGCTCTAATACAGTCTTCTTTAGAAACAAAATTGTTTTCATTCCCTCCACATCCACTGTATGAAAATGTGCAGCATTTTTTGATGCTGAAATCAAAGTAGAATCTTGTTTCATTTGCTCTACACAGACCTCTGTCTGCTGGGGTCTTACACAAGGAGGGACCACGATATTCTAAGAACAAAAAGAAAACATGGTTAGTCGTAAATAATAGTTGATCTGTGACTTCACATATTATTTATAGATAATGCTTACTTATATATGATAATATGAATGCATAAAAGTGGTACTTAATAAAAACCTGTATTTTAATTATAGGAAAATTTTTAACCCATCTTTAGGTGTTTACTGTATTAAGGCTTTTCTCCAATAAATAAAAAAGTTAATACATTTGCTGAAAGGAAAGTGGGGATTATACTTTATTATGTTCAACTTGTTTATGTATCTGAAACAATCATGATTCAGCAATTTAATTTCAGAAAATTTATTAATAATCTTCATTTTAAAAGTTTATCAATTTCATATATCAATTGTTCATGAATGCCTAACTTTGGAGAAAAATCCTATGGACAAAATTATTATTTATTATATAACATAAAACCAGAAGCTGAGGAAGAGCATCTTCTCTTGACTTTGAAAGTTTTTAATGATTTAAAATAATCACAATTTGGAGAACAAGAATTCAGTTGTTACTAAGAAGGAGTCCAGAAGAAATGATATGACCTAGTTACAAAAATATTCTCATGAATTGAAGTATCAGTTCTAGATGAGTTAGTATCATTACAAAAGAAGGAATATTGCTGAAGAGAGTAAGTCAAAAAATTTATGGTTTAAGATAAGTCAATGGAACCATCACTTTTAAAAACAGAAGAAAAAATGGCAACGAGGATAATAACTGAACGTTTATTTCCATAAGGCAAGGCAGATAAATTATTCAGTCTAATGGCAGTTTCTATTTCCTTTAGAAATTTCCAAAGGCAATAAAAGTAAAGAAAACATCAGGACTAAAATTCTTGATTTTAGATACTGCAGATATGCTGTTGGTAGATGGTGAGTATAAGAAAACTTTTATGGCTTGGTCAATAGTGGTATATGGTACAACCAACAAAGACAGAGAATCTGTTAAATGTTCAACATTGGCAGAAAATAAAACTGAGGAATCCAGAAGTCAGTGGAGACAAAAAGGTGTTGTAGAAAGCAAGAAATAGTTGGATGGCAAGTGAACCCCAGATGAATATACTGTAAAATACAAGACAACTAAATATGTGAGGAAGAATGAAAAGTAATATTTAATTGATGTAAGTATGTTAGCCACTTTATGCCTTCGAGTTACTTATATGAAGATTAGAATGTCTCATTATAATGACAGAATAGGAGAAGTTCTGAAAACTATACAAAAAGAAATGATATTATTACATGATAAATAAGAAGAAATTTTAGAAAGGTCATGTCATGTCAAAAACAAGAACTGTAATCACAGAGAATATTGTTTTATTTATGTGTTTGAGTCTATACACAAAAATTTAAAGTAAAATTCCTAGGACCTTTTGAAACTTAGGCTGTCACTGTCACTGTCCTGTTGTTCATCGATTTGCTCGAGTGGGCCCAGTAATAACATCTCCATTGTGACAATTGTTACTGTGTTTGGCATAGCGAATACGTCATGGGTAGCTTCCAGGCTTTGCTGTGGGGGCGAGATACTCTCGGTAGCTTGCCAGGCTCTTCGAGAGGGGCAGAGGGTCGACCATGTTGGCCGCTTGCAAGGCAAATGCCCTACCCGCTGTGCTATAATTCAAAATCATGTTGTCAATATCATCTGTTACCATCCTATTTGGGGGTTACAGTATATGATTACTAATTACAAAAATCCAAATCCAAATCCATGTAGTGAGAAACTATTCTTAACCTCCTAAAAATTAAGAAAATATATCACTAAAAATGGTTTATATAAGAAGAGTTTTATGTTAGTCAAAACATATGTTGTAATTGAGCTCTACTATTTTAAATCTCTTTTTCATCATGTGTACTGTGAATTCTCATCAACTTTAAAGCACAGACTTTGAGAACGATATTCACTCACTGAAACTTTTATCTCTATGAGCTTCCAAACCATCATCTGTGTTTACACCACAAATAATTAACCTGATTTGAGAAACAGGAAAATCGGGGGAAGAAAATCAATATTCCTTTTTATCTATTCTCAACTAACACTCACAGAGACTTTATAATAGTTGTGTGACATGATGAAAAATTACTTGTGCTTCTATTTCATAGCATTTTATACACCAGATGTATTAAGCCACAATAACTTTTAGGTTATCAAACCTTCAGAAGTGTTTGACATGTTGCTTTTGACTGGGATCTGGGGTACAGATTTAAATTCTCCCTCATGACAAGTTTATTCTTTTACTCCATGAGCGTTCATTCAACTCTGACCTTATATGACAATTGCTTGCTTGTTTGCTTCACTTTTCTTGTCTTGATTTTAATATCTAGTAGTATAAGTATATCAATATGACCAAATACAATTCACTTTCTACCCAGATAAATATTTGGTTTATTATGCTAAAAATAGAGATATTTTGAATATAACTTCTGAAATTAATCATTAAATATGTTTATATACGTATATATAACTATCTATGTGTGGGTACATATGTAGTCATAACTTAAATTTTTGATAAAACAATAAGTTATTTTCAGTTGGGTGTCCATATACACATTATTTTCTGGAACATGAATTATACCTGATATGGGCTGGAGCAGTAGCACAGCGGGAAGGGATTTTGTTCTTGCACGTGGCCAACCTGGTTCAATTCCTCTGTCTCTCTCAGAGAGCCTGGCAAACTACCAAGAGTATCCCTCCATATTGCAGAGCCTGGCAAGCTCCCCGTGACGTATTCAATATGCCAAAAACAGAAACAACGCCTCACAATGGAGACATTACTGGTGCCCGCTCGAGCAAATAAATGAGCAATGGGAGGACAGTGCTACAGTGCTACATATGTAAATTAAAACACATCTTATTTGAACTATGGGCAGAATTTCTATCATTGGTTCCTCTACTATAAACCACAAAGTAATTAAGATATTAACATAATGAAGTGGGTGGTTTATTATAGCTTCAATATTTCTGTGTCTTTATTACCACCCAAATAATCTCTAAAGATGAGGAAATTGATCTATTTTTATCATGTCATTAAATGTTTTATTTTTTAAAATATCACTACCAATAATAATAGCCTTACTCTATTTAAAGTTCAAAATGCCTAGTTAATAGACATATACCAGAATACATAGCACTGTAGCACTGTCCTCCTGTTGTTTATTGATTTGCTCGAGCAGGCTCAGTAACGTCTACATTGTGAGACTTGTTTTTACTGTGTTTGGCATATTGAATATGTCACGGGGAGCTTGCCAGGCTTTTCTGTGCAGCTGAGATACTCTCGGTAGTTTGCCGGACTCTCCAAGAGGGGTGGAGGAATCAAACCCGCTCGGCCAGGCTAGCCACGTGCAAGGCAAATGCCCTACCGCTGTGCTAGAACTCTTAAAGATCTGTGCTCTCTTCAGAAATTAATTCTGCTTGGGGCTTGGGAGTATATAGCAGGTAAACCTCTTGCCCTGCATTCAATTGACCTGAGTTTCATCCCCAGGAAATTGAACAAAAATTTTGTATCTTGTGAGCTTGACTACTTTTCATTAACATTTTTACTCTACATAACCATAAGCACTCACCTATTCAAAATCCAGACTTTGTTATCTACAATAAAAGAAATATAAAGGTTTTGAAGTAATGCACCAAGTGATATTTGGCCTAGATAATAACTATTCACAGAAGTTTAACATAGAATAAAAAGACACTAACCTGATTTCTGTTAATTTTCCAAAGGGAATTTAATAACTGAATGCTTTCTGTCTTGATCTTGCCATTAATAACAACTTGAATATCTTCCATTTATAGAAACTCTGAGAGGTTTCCAGAATTCAGAATTCTTATTTTCTGCCAGCAATTTTCACAATTTAGTGTCATTGCTATGTTGAAAGGCAGTGCTCTGAGGTCAGTTTTATATGTAAAGTGGTATATGTAACTTTTTCCTGAAATCTGTTAAGTGAATTTAGAACCTATATTCACTTGGAATATTTACCATGTTCTCTTACTCTCATTGCACACGCATATTTATTTTATGTTAGTATCAAACATAAGTTTTATGAACCACCTCATAACTTAAATAAGCAAATTTGGTTACTAACAGTTAGAAATTAAAAATTCTAATAACAAAAATTTTCTTATTAATTTCAGTGACGAAAACTGTTCTTACTCTTTAGTTACAATTTGTCATTGTAAATGTTAAAATAAAAGTACTTTAAAATTTGACCTCTACTCTCTACCTACTATGGTTTGGTGTAAAATTTCCCTCAATTTTTAATTTATGTGACTTGTGACCACATTCAGGAGGCCCGAAGGGTACCAGCTAGAAGAAATCTGAATAAAAATACCCCAAGGCACATTCTGATCAAAATGACCAAAATCTTAGACAGAGACAAAATTCTGAAAGCAGCAAGATCGAAGAAAGAAATCTCTTACAAAGGAGCATCCTTAAAATTCACAGCTGATTTTTCTGATGAAACCCTCATGGCCCGAAAACAGTGGTGGGACATAGTGAAAAAACTCAATGAAATAAATGCCTCCCCCAAAATACTTTACCCAGCGAGACTCTCATTCATAATAGAAGGAACAACACACAGTTTCACAGACAAACTACAGCTCAGGAACTTCATAGACTCAAAACCATGGTTACAAGAACAACTAAATGGGCTACTTTAAGGCAAGAAAGGCCACTGAAATACACCAAATTTCAACAGAACAATGGGACAAATCCCATAACAATAATCTCTCTCAATGTCAATGGGCTAAACGCACCAATTAAAAGACATAGAGTGGCAGGATGGATTAGAAAATTGAACCCAACATTCTGCTGCCTGCAAGAAACACATCTCAATAGTCAAAGCAAACACAGACTCAGAGTCAAAGGCTGGAAAACAATCCTACAGGCAAACAGCTCCCAGAAAAAAGCTGGGGTAGCCATCCTAATATCAGACCACATCGATTTCAGAGTGAAGAAGGTCATAAGAGACAGTGAAGGCCATTTCTTATTGATCAAAGGATCTGTACA